TTCATTCGTAGTTAATAAGGTGTGAAATTACAAAATTTTCAGAGTAAAGTGTCCTTCTGACCAACTTTCGATCACGGCGTCCAGTCTCAACGGAGACTAGCCATCTGCACAGTACAGAATTATATTATATAGTAGGTATAGTACACGAGTGTGTATGTAAGCACAGGTGCACACCCTATTCCTTCACTCTCGTAGTCCGATGGTACTCGGTATCGGCTTTACGTGCTTTTCGAGGCACGAGGTTGAAATACCGCCGACATCCTGCCTCCGGGCTGTTACCGAGAATTTTTGATAGTAAAACCCAACGACTTGGTTTGGTACGACCGAGATTCGAAACTGGGACCAAAGAGGCAGTCCAAAGAGTGACACTACATGCAATGACAATGTTTTAGTCTATCCTTCAGTTAGCGTGGGAGTTGAAACTGAGTGGCAAGCGTGAAGCGGAGCAGTGTTTAGCGTGTATTATAAACACGCTCTTTTGTTTCTATGTAGAACGTGCCGCTAAACTACACGCTCCGCCGAACGCTAATTATTCCAGGTCTTAGGCAAGTGAGTGCTTGCACGACAAACAATTCATAAAGCGGTAAAATAATATAATAATGTTGCTGTGTTTCGTATGGTGAGTGTAGAGAACCGGACCTCCTTCATACTGGTACAATGCATCTGCATTTCGAATCTTAATCGATGACAGATGTAGATATCTATTTACCATAGCATCCACTTACTATCAGGTGGACTACGTGCTAGTTTATATACTTATTATATAAAACATATTCGAGCGGTCGCAACTGAGGACACTTTGAGACAATGTTATGTTGAAAGCGTTTGCTTGTCAGACACATTGAAATCTCAACTCAATCCACGTCAAACGATACAGATAGGTACTCAGTTTCTACACTAAAGCCTGATTGAAGAGCTATTTGTTTCTAGACTAGACGTGGGTAGTTCGCGAACGAAAGCTGTAAATGAACTAATTTACATGTTATGTATACCTGTTTGTCTCTCGTTTACCAGCTCTAGAAACTTATCAGTGTATCACTGAATCATTTGCTCCTTAAGTATGTCCTTACTCTAAGGGTCGGCACTTGGTATTTGTCGAAAAATGCACGATCACTGTTAGAGCTATTTTCACTCGTTCTATCATGTATAATGTAATATCCATTTTATTTGAATCAATGGCAAAGATATTCCATCAAATACATAATATTATCACATACAAATAATTAGTAATTAAGTAAGTACTCGATTAATTTCGCGGATTATCACACTTAAACAAATGATGTTTTTTTTAATTTTTTTGAAATATATTAAAAGCTCATCAGGAAGTTACTTTAAAATCAATTATTAAATTCCACTCGGAACGACACACAGACATACACTCAAGAAAGTGACTTAATAAAAACGTGGTAAAATTATAACGGAATGAATTTAATGTGGAGTAATGAACTTTAATAAAATACATGTCGATTAATCGATCTCTCGTAATTAAGCTATTATTGAAACGCGGATACTAAAGATAGATAGATATAAGAACGATGAACTACAGTTTATCAATATAGCTGTTGAACTAAATGCACAAGTGATATATATATAATAATAATAATAATCCAATAATACTGTAATAATAAAATACAGACTATTTTAATAATACATATCAGTCATTAGTAGCCAGCCAGTCTCCTTTTAAGCAAATAATGCCTGTAGCAGGTGACGCATATATCTGTCTCTATATACAAAAATCTATTGCTGTTCTATAAATAATAGAATCAGGCGTTACTTTGCGGAAGTACAATGGGTAAGATATATCATTTTATTTTATCGAGCGGATGTACGCGAAGTAATTTTTTGCCAACTTCAATTGCTGTCCGTTAGTATTGTAAAAACTCGAAAATGTCTGGACAGACTTTGATGAAATTTTTTGTGTGTGTTTGAGTGGGTCCCTGGATGATTTTAACAATTCACAATTGGACCCGGTAGGTGGCGCTGTTGTCAAGATGTAGAAATTACATGTGCTTTCCGAGGCACGGGCGTGAGACTACACCAATTTCTTGACTCCGGGGCAGCTACTGAGAATTTTGACGGAAAAACTCAATAAATGATTTTTTTGGCCAGGTCCGGGATGCGAACCCGGAACCTCATGATCAGCAGTACCGTTTATAACCACTCGACTAATGAGGCAGTCAAGATATATACGTACGAAATAAGTAAATACTGTAAACAGTATAAACAAACCAAGCCTGTTTGTTTCCAGTGCTCAGTCTCCGTTTCATATAATTTTATGGCGCTATTTGTAGCGGATGATGTTATGCAGAAACGTTCGTTGGTTGTAACGTATCTTCCTTATAGGTATGAATACGTACACAATGTTAATAGTTTAGTTAAATCGATGGAGTCTTGTGTGGACAATACACTGCGTTGTCGGGCATTAATAATTTATTTATTTACACACACACACACACACACGCACGCACGCACGCACGCACGCACGCGCACGCGCACGCGCACGCACACGCGCACGCACACGCACACGCACACGCACACGCACACGCACACGCACACGCACACGCACACGCACACGCACACGCACACGCACACGCACACGCACACGCACACGCACACGCACACGCACACGCACACGCACACGCACACGCACACGCACACGCACACGCACACGCACACGCACACGCACACGCACACGCACACGCACACGCACACGCACACGCACACGCACACGCACACGCACACGCACACGCACACGCACACGCACACGCACACGCACACGCACACGCACACGCACACGCACACGCACACGCACACGCACACGCACACGCACACGCACACGCACACGCACACACACACACACACACACACACACACACACACACACACACACACACACACACACACACACACACACACACACACACACACACACACACACACACACACACACACACACACACACACACACACACACACACACACACACACACACACACACACACACACACACACACACACATATTACACTTGGGCCTGTCATTCGCCGATGGCTAGTCTCCGTTGAGACCGACCGTCGTGACCGAAATTCGCTCTGGAGGAATATTATTATTACTACATATATCTTTACACATTTCGTCCATAGATATCATACAAGGCAACTATGAGAAATGCCAAAAAGACCTTATATTTATACGTGACAGGACTACGGTGCAGTTATAGTATGGTTGTAACACGAATGGGTCGGCTCGACCGGGGAATGACCACGCTCTCACAGAATACCCGCGTAAAATAGCAGCTTAACGCTGCTTGTGTTTCGTATGGTGAGTGTAGAGAACCGGAAACCCTTTTTACTGGAAAAGAGGCATTCCATCTTAGTCCTCACGAGTGATAACTCATCTGCATTTTGAGGATAGATGTCGATGTCTATGGATCGCAGCACCCACTTACCATCAGGTGGACTGTGTTTTTTTTTATAGGAGAGGGGGCAAACGAGCATGCGGCTCACCTGATGGTAAGTGACTACCGCCGCCCACGAACAACTGCAACACCAGGGGAATTGCAGATGCGTTGCTGGCCTTTTAAAAAGAGTAGGATCTTTTCTTGAAGGTCCCTAAGTCGTATCGGTACGGAAATATCTCTGGTGGTAATCGATTCCACAGGGAAGTTGTGAGAGGAAGAAAACATCTTCTAAATCGCACAGTGGTGGACCGCCAATCATCCAGATGGTATGGATGGTATTGCGAGTTTTGTCGCGATGTGCGATGGTGACATTTAGCGGCTGGAATAAGTCCGAACAATTCCTCAGAGCACTCCCCGTGGTACATGCGATAAAAGATGCAAAGAGATGCAACATCTCTACGCAGTGCTAGTGAGTCAAATTGTCTCTTCTCGTTTCACCTTATCCTATAAAAAAAAAAGAATTAAAGCCTCGAGACTACTGAAGCTATTTTGTAGAAATATTTTTTTAGCTCTTCCAAATCTTTACTACTTACTAAAAGTTAACATCAAAGTAACTACTGTAATGAAAATAAATATCTTTAAATATTTACATTAATAACTTCATGCCCTATTTTCCTCTCATGCGTTACACACATACAAAATAAAAAAAACGTACAGTGAAATTGAGAACCATCTTATTTTTTAAGGTCGGCTAATAAAACGTCCTAGATTGTAAAACAGTAAAATTACAGACTCTATACGTTCCACTTCTGTGCACAGGCTTCATCTCATTAGGCCCTAGTAACTACTAATCAAGAGTAATATACCAAGAAGGCAACAAAGCTGAGATATTAAAACCTCTCCTAGTAGAAACTTGACGTCCTTTTTAACAATGCCACACGCGGCGAAAACATTCCCCTTATTGCGAAACATGAAACCTGTGAAAAGTTCGAAACAAAGGCTATGTTAGTCCTGAGGTTTATATCCTTATATAATATTACACTCGTATTTCATTCGATATTAAAAGCAAATACATAAAAAGAATCTGTAATACACGGTAGATCCACGCTGCAGCTATATTATGGTAGTATTTCGAATGGGTGGCTCGACCGGGGAAAGACCACACACTCTCATAAAATACTAACACAACAGCTTTTGCTGCTCTGTTTCGTATGGTTAGTGTACAGAACCGGAGACTTAATAAAGGATAGATGTAGTCCCAATGGGCAAAAACATTCACTTACCATCTGGTGGACAGTGTGCACGTTTTTCACCCATATTCTAAAATAAGAGTGCGAGAAACTCCATACATATTATATACTAATTTTTACTTCGTCTTTCAAGCTGTAATTGTAAATATTATACAGATTTAAAAGACTGTATAAACATTATCCAACATATCCTCAGTAGGATAATGTTTATTCTGATTTAATGAGCCGTAACCCCGTAACACCTCAGGGCCTATGCGCACGCCGTAATTTTTATTGAACGCGACAACCCGAGTTCGATCCCCACCGGTACCAATTAATTGATAATAATTTGAAGTGCGTGTTTACCACCTGTACGGCGGTGAAAAAAAAAACATTATGAAGAAACCTGCATGTGTGAGAAGTTGGTAAATTTTGAAAACGTGCAAATGTGAAGTTTGCCAACAAGCAACGCAACGAAAACTTCCTTGCACAGAAATGAAGGAGCTACTCCAACCATTTAGCCAAAGATATGAGTTTAGAAAAAAATATGTGGATGAAGTGATATGTGGCTATCCTATCGCCTACGCAATTACTCTACTAACTCATTAGTTGCCTTTTATGATATTATGCTAAGCGACTAGCAGTTGGTGCATTATTTTTTGTTATCAGTCTCACATAAAGATGGGACCATAAATACCAGACCAACATGCAGCAAAACTATCGCCGGAAATATTGCAAGCGAGATGCAATTCTATAGATCTTCGACGAGTCCTTCTAGAACCTTAATTATTTATTTGCTCGTGTTTTTTTTTTGTTTTTCCTTTAACAACAATATGTCCGCCAACATGAAAAAAAAATCAGGGTATTGTTGAATTTGATCGGCGGCCGCGGCATATTATACGTACGGTGCGGTTTTGTTTTACTTTATTTTACCATAAATTGCAGCGAAATAAAAAAAAACATCAGAAAAAACATCACCTCTCTCTGAAAAGTTTGTATAAAGCTTCATTTGACTGTCAAAGCGTAAATGTCGCTGTGCTTCCAGCCATATTACTTCTTACAAATGACATAAAGATGGAAATTACAGAGCAACATTTGAATGTCTCATTAATTCAGTAGAGAGGACTTGAAAGGCGAAAATAATAACCGTACGGACAAAGGGTGACGGAGGAACGAACGTGTTAAACCAAGCACAGATAAGTGCGGCGGGGATAGTCACCGCGGCGAGTTGTACATTCAGCTGAATGTACAACTGGCAGTACAGTACAACGTTTATAATTTAGCCTCATTATAAATTTTACACCGCCGCGGTGTAAGAATATCCACTTTAAATGGGTTATATTGTATGGGTGTAGTAAGAAGCGACAGAGGAAAATAAACCATCGGATGAGCAGTCGCGTCTTTCGTAATAACGAATTTAAAAAAAACTGCGATTGCCAACCCACCTGGCAAGCGTGGCAACTATGGTAAATATATGTTGGATAATCATATGAGATAATCTATGTTGGATGCCTGTAACTTTAAATACGAAATAAAGTTTTTTTTTTTTGTAATATGAGTAATATTCACAATTTATAACACATATGTGTATTGTAATTGATTTAAGTTTTAGATAAATTATCAAATATGCCAGCCAATTTCAACGAAGACAAGCCATCTGCGTCGGGTGCATGATTATAGTGCACGAGTGTGTGAGTAAACACATGGTACCCTCGTAGTTCGGTGGGAAGGCAATGCGACACGACCGGGGAGTTTAGGTACAGAACCGCCGGCTTCACGTGCTTTCCGAGGCACAGTGATGAAACAATGCCAACTTGATGACCCTGGGCTACCAGCTGTTAATGAGAATTTCTTGACAAAAACCTATTATAACCTAAATAACTTATTTCAGCCCGAAGTGTGGCCCGGTCCTCCACTAGATGAAATAACACCTGGTAAGACATGCGGGAAGTCGATGGATGCAGGTGGTTCAAGACTGTGCTTTGTGGTATTCTTTGGTGGAGGCCTATGTTCAGAAGTGCACTTGTAAAGCAATTGGTATTGCATGCGCAAATACAAACAAGAAAAATCATCTTAACTATTATACATATATATATATATATAATATATTGTTTGACTTAAATTCCGGCCTTTATTATCTGAGTCGTCGGGTCATAAACGTCAGAACAATAGGACATAGGTGCCCGTTCCAACAGCGGCCTGCTAACAGATTGTATTGTAACCAGATGAACTATACATATTGTTGCATCCATAATTTATTCGCATAACACAGTTTGTATATTTGACAAGGCATCTGCATTTTTATTCTTATTCGAGGATAGATGTAGGTATATATGGGCCACAGCGTCCACTTGCTATTAGTTGAACGGAGAAATTTACTGTATAGCAGGTCCTCACATCAAATTCCTATCGAAGCAACACTAGTGCGTTAAAACAAATTGTTGACTTATGGGTCTGAATTTGTTGTAACTATTAATTAAATTCAAATTTTTGAGATTGTGTTCTAACCTACCTTCTCGAATCTCATAGCGCCTTCTACTGGAGAGGGCAGAAAAGTGTGTGCCGGGACAGATAGTATTAAAAATAATATACCAATAATTTATAATATAGAAATTTTAGACACATAACGTATCAAATGTTATATCAATTCTTCCTCTCCATATTATTGAGACAATATTAATCATATTATGCTGTATCAATATCAATTTTACTTCAAGCATCAAGTATTATAAGTCTTCATATACCCAAAATTAGTTAATTGACTGTACTTCTGATTTTTTATTCAAAGCACGGCGCGCTCTGAAGGTACGTTCCCGTCATGACAGACATGTGTACTTTGTAACTATTTACACGGCGGTTCGGATGCGTTTTACATTTAAGCAGTTGGGGACTCGGGAGCGTTGCATACCAACATGACAGGCATAATGGACCGTTTTCTACTAATAATGTATAACATTAGAGAATGCTTGTTGCTTGACTTTTGAGGTGTCTAAGCTAAAATATATTTTTTTACATACAATAAGTGTTGTGTGGCTAAGGCTTAAGAGGACTAATATGTACACTGTTTTGCTCTTTTTAATTACAGGAAATTCCATAAAAACATCATCATGCAATAGATCTACAAATAATCAAGCCAATTGGGCAAAACTATAATAGCGGGTCATTTTTAAATTTAAATTTTCAAAAAGGTTTTTTTTTTAATAGGATCGGACAAACGAGCACACAGTCCACCTGATGATAAGTAGTTGCTGTGGCCCATAGACATCTACATCTATCCTCGTTTGCGAATCAAAATGCAGATGCGTTGTCAGCCGTGAGGACTAAGATGGAATGCCTCGTTTCCAGTAAAAAGGGTCTCCGGTTCTCTACACTCACCATACGAAACACATGAATCCTTATGCCTCTAAGCTTATAATTACACTGGCTCTCTTTACCGTTATGACGAGTACACGGCAGTGCACGCATTGCTATTTAACGCCAGAAATAGGAAGCAAAGTCTAAACGGAACTAGGCAAAAAAGGATTCTCACCACCAGTGTAAAATTATGCTGAAATTAGAAATTTATTAGCTTCTACCCGTGTACAACTTTGGATTTGAATTATCTGAGTTCTATTAAATGGTTATAGACACTAGCTTCATCTGGGATTAGAATATGAGACCGAGGACTTGGCAGCCAAATAAGTCCACCGTCGAAACATGTTTATTGTCAACTCTTTGTTGCCTTTCGCATTACTGTTTCTCTAATTCATTCAAAAGTCCATTTAAATTATGCACAATGGATATCTGTCCAAATGGCACCAACGACCGTCAGTATCCGCTATTCGAGATATTACTTTACGTTAGTATTTTATGCGCTGCCATACCGTTCATCAGATTGCGCTAAAATTTTGTCAAATTATTGCTTGCAAGTGCGTGAAGGTTATAGGTATAGTACAATTAACTTACACTAGGCCGCGTGCGTATCGTACCGACAAATTAATTTGAAAGTCATATAGGTATCATTCAATTTCAATGAATGTATTATCATTCCTAATTAAATAATATAAAACAATATAACCCTTCCAAATTAAAAACGATATTTCCACAATAGTTTCTTCTGCGGCAGCAACGCGCCGGGTACGAGCTAGTACGATATAAAATACACAAAGCATAGAAATGCAGTATTGAATTTAAAATTGAGATGATATCAAAATACAATTGACAAGGGATGTTCATGGTTACAGTTTATTTAGGACTGACAGATTAGATACGGCACGCGTATACAAACAACAAGAATAGTTTTGTCATGTTTGTAATGGAAGTATAAGTAACAATGGTAAGTGAGAAACCTAAAAAACAAAATTAAAAAAGTAAAATCCTTTCAACTTTTGCTCGGCGATTGTATTTAAACGAAGCCTCCACACTTAATTTGAATTGAATTATTTCAATAACTATCTTTTTACAAACCATCTTGAAATAGTATCATACCAAATATTTTCTTCTTTACTGGTAATTAAACTTTTCATCTTTTTTTATATAGGATAAGGGTAACAAACGAGCACACAGTCCACCCGATGTCCTGATGGTAAGTAGTTGTTGTGGCCCATAGAAATCTACATTTATCCTCGATTACAAACCAAAATGCAGATGCGTTCTCACCCGTGAGGACTAAGATGGAATGCCTTGTTTCCAGTAAAAAGGCTCTCCGGTTCTCACTCACTATATGAAACACAGCAGCGATAAGCTGCTATTTTACGCTGGTATTCTATAAGAGCGTGGTCCTTCCCCGGTCGAGCCGACCCATTGGTGCTGTTGTATACAAGTAATATAGCTGCAGCATGTCTGATATTTTTATCGCATTTGTTACCGCATGAGCATAACCATGAGCTACAGCATCCATATATACCATCAGGTGACCGCGTTTACCTGCCCTTTCTTACATAAAAAATATTTCAAATTAATAAAACATCTACAGATAAAAAAGAAATACCAGTCAATTTGCAGTCATTAGTGGTCTTGTGGTTATACTTTGAGCTCCACTTGCATTTTTAAAGCTTTTAGAAATGAACGGACAGAGCACTCCAATTAGAAAGGATTAATGAACGTGGTTTTATGCGCTGAGTTCGCTGTTAGATGATATATCTTTTTAATCAGACCACTCTAGATTATTATTTTTCTTAATAATTAGCACATTTTTTTAATTTTACTAGGCGAAGAAACATACATTTATCTAAGTGTATGTATGTAGGCCTCGGACACCTAATATATCCTTCATTCATCGAAAGAGCAATATATTATTTTGTTGTCATTCCTGCCTAGTAACGGTAGGCGAAGTGTAAGGCGACTCCCCACTAGATGGAGTGACGACCTGGTAAGACATGCAGGAAGTCGATGGATGCAGGTGGCTCAGGACCGTGCTTTGTGACATTCCTTGGGGGACGCCTATGTTCAGCAGTAGACTTGTGAAGGGCGGTAATTATGAAGATGTAATTCCTTCGATTTGAGAGGTGTCGCTTCGCTTTTACTGTAATGAAGCAACACTGAAATGATATTCTACGGGAGGAATAATAAAATTTTAACATTCACCACTCAATCTGATCAGTATTTTTGAACCATTCATAATATACATTAGGTAAAGTCATACCACAGAAAAACTGCAAAACTTTTTTTTAATGTCTATATATTTTACATTTAAAATTCGTATGTTGAATGTTACTTAATGTAATATAAGGCAATGATTAACGAATGTACAGTCCACCTGATGGAAATTGTCTGCTGCAGTCCATGGACACCTGTAGCCATTTTCAAACAAAAAAGTATACAGATGCGTTGTTACTTCTGTGGACTATAATACTAGCTTCTTATACTCTTCAGATAGGAACACAGTTATGCAGATACTGCAGAACTGCTACTTACTAATTGCTACTTGGCGGCAAAAACCAGTAAGAGGTTATTACCTACCCAAACGGACTCTTAGCCAGAAAACCACCTAGTAAAAAAGTTTTTTTTATAGGATAGGGTGACAAACGAGCACACAGTCCACCTGATGGTAAGTGGTTGCTTGACCCATAGACATCTACATCTATCTTCAATAAAGAATCAAAATGCAAATGCGTTGTCACTCGTGAGGACTAAGATGGAATGCCTCTTTTCCAGTAAAAATGGCCTCCGGATCTCTACACTCACCATACGTAACATAGCAGTGTTAAGCTGCTATTTTACGCTGGTATTCTGTAAGAGCGTGGTCCTTCCTCGTTCGAGCGGACCCATTCGTGCTACAACTATACTACTTATATACCTACAGCATGGCTCTGCCACGTAGTTAAAAGTTTTAAAAATAGAGTGTGTCAATAGTAGTGAATGCTAAAATTGAACCAACACTGAACTAAGCTAACATATTACACTACTAAGCAGTAGTAGTACTAGATGAATTACTCTTACCTTCAAATAGAATTCATGGAAACGTTGCCGTAGAGTTCCATTTCCTGGCTGTGCGCACCTGTAACAACGAAATAACTGTTGGTAAATCCAATTGTGCATGCCTTAAGCGCATTAAGAAAATTCCTTATAACATGATTATACGTAAATTTTTAAAGTAGTTCAATTACACACAAGTTTTCACTAAAACCTTATAATTATTACTATACCTAAATTTATATATACATCCTACGTACGAGTACTTTTAGCGGAACAAAATATTGTAATAAAAATCTGGGATTATAAAAATAATAACCTTGGTCAAGTAGGAGTATTTGTCAAATTTGGTTTTTGGAATATTTTGTATTACTATAGCGATCGTTATTTTTGCTGCGTATTACCGCTGCTATAAGCAAACGATACAGTAATCCACTCACGACGGCGGCCGAGCGCGGAGTGAGTGAGGCAAAGCAAAGTGTACTTAGTAAAATAAATTATTACAAAGCTGCTCAAAACACCGAAATTTCGGGATTTCTCAGCCGAAAAAAATTAATTATAACTAAACAAAACAAAATTACACTGCCATTTACATTTCATGGCTTCCCATATGATAGATGAAGAGATTAAAAAATAGATTGAGTTAAACAAATTATAGTTTTAAAAGTTATCGTGTTTACCCCTCCATGCGCACTAGATAAATCCACCATAAACCACTAAAACCACTTTTTATGTAAAAATAGCAATTAATCGATTTAAAAAAATTATAAGGTCATCAATTATTTATCTTTCTGACAATGTGCTTTTCATATCATTTATATGTTCAATATGATTGTTAGATACGATTTCATGTGACAAAACGTTGGAATCTTGATTTTTAGGCGCTAGTAAAACATACCTACGCGCTTTGCGCTTAAGGCATGCAATAAAAGGCTGTACGACATGCATAAGGCAATCATAATAATCAGTCATTGAATTTAAGGCACAGTATTTTAATAAGTATTTATTTATTGAGTTCGTGGAAAAAAAACAACTTGCAGTTTACTTCTAAATAATCGGCCAAGTGGAAGTCGGACTCGCGTATGAAGGGTTCCGTACCATCGTAATGCACGTTTCTAGTAGGGGAGCCCCTTTTAATTTTTATTATTTGTTGTTATAGCGGCAACAGAAATACACATTCTGTGAAATTTTCAACTGTGAACCTATTATGGATCGTGAGATACAGCCCGCTGACAGACTGACGGACTGACGGACGGACGGACGGACAGCGGAGACTTAGTAATAGGCTCCCGTTGGTTACCCTTTGTGTACGGAACCCTAAAAACGACACGCGGTTGGTGAGGCCAAAGATCAAGTAAAGCTTTACGCCTTGAGAGATGTCTTACTTTAACAGAGGACTGCCGGTGGCTTATAATGCTTCATAATTATCATTTGTAATGTGGGAGGACTTCTTTTTCTGCCTAGGACAGGTATGGCGAACAATATAGCCATCACTCAATATTTGTGGCACGCCACGGATCACAAAGTTCACTATGAAGTGTTACGAACATATTACCGAACTAACGCGAGTGATCCTACGCTATGTAGTGTTCGGGCGCGGTTCGCGTGGCGGCGGTAATCACGAAGTCAAAATTATTTTACGGCATGTCTCTATGGTTTCATTAAGCATTTCTTTAGAAAAATGGCACATTGATGTAGTTCGCCAGGGTATGTAGCACCTCTTACCTATTCCGCCGCCAGATAACAGTGCCAGCACTGTTGAGTTACGATCTGAATTGTATAGAGAACCAGTATCATTAAAGGCTGTGAGGCATCCCATCTTACTCCCTGTAGGTGACAACGGATCCGTAGTTTCCCGTGCTTTAAGATGGCGGCAGTTGTTTATAGTAGTAGGCACTTACCATCACGTGGACAATAAGTAAGTTAGTCACTTGTTTTATAAAAAAAAATCTTTTGGTAACACAATAATACAAAAATACCAAAAAATATTAAAAATTGGTAAAGATATAATTCAGTCTTTGTTGGTCCTTATCAACAAATATTTTTACGTAACAAATTAGCAAATAATAAGCGTTAAAAAAACTATGCAATTAAAATTCTAGAACATATAGTTGCATATGTATCTGTAAGAATAAATCAAGAGGGTCATTCACGTAATGTTACATCAGTGAAAGAAAATGAATTCCGTTCATAGTTGACAATCTTTTATTCCTTGTAGGCAGGGACTTAAATATCGGTAAAATTCAGTAACGATATCTGCGCAACTGCGAGATAACGTTATGTTTAAGAGAAACGATATGTCAAAACGATATTATGCAAAGCTTTGCATGTATATAACGTTATAATTACGTTACAATAAATTTGTCAAATAAACGTTTCTAAAATATTGTTAGCACAAATTGATAATGTTATTATTTATTGTTCTATGCCATCTCTTTTACTCGTATCTTCTATCGAACGCAGTGCTCTAAAGCTATAGGCTAAAAAGTACGTTTTATGGTCGTCAGTGCAGCAAATGAATTATCAACTGTAGTACTATATAAATCTCGGAATATCAAAGGTAAGATAATAAAATATTTTTTTACATGTTACTAACGACGCGCCCTGGCTTCTCACGGGTGCAATTTAATATTAATGTTTCTAATAATCTATAAACAAAGTCATTCTCTAAACGATAGTGAAAACTGTATCAAAATTCGTTGCGTGGCTAACGGCCGGTTTCAATATCCTATACATATGGATTTTTTTACTGGAGTCTAGAAGTAGAATTTTGACGTATTTTATATGCAGCTAATGTCAAATACTCATCTGTAACCAAACCCACAGATAGATAGAATATTGAAACCGGCCGTTAGTGAAGCTGTCGCGAGCGCGATCCCAATTTTATTAGCACGCATATTCCATACATAGTAATGGATCAACAAAAAATCTGCTGAACCGATTAGGATAAAATTTTGTACGAATGTTTCTGCAGGAACAATATTATAATTAATTATTAAGGTCTCTATATCTTTTTAGTTTTAGGTATGAAACGAAGTATTACTCCTGATATAATGGACTCGGAAACAAAAAATCGTCCAATATCTCCATCACTCTTACGGCCTACAAGGTACAATATAAAAGAAGATAAGAATAAAGCACGTTTAAGGGTCCAAACTAAGTCTGAATGTTGTGCAACTTACATCAACGACGATAGAAGGAATGAATACTTTGCCCAATTACTAACTGAAGAACTAAAATATATTAACCCATGTATGAAAACAAGATGTTACATCAAAATACTAAACTTTTTGAATGAAGTGAAAAATTACCACACAAATCAAATAGAGGTAACGGACACGGAAAGAATATAACTAAAATAGGATTACTTTGAAACATTGAAGTATAAATTTAATTAACTGATTAACCAATGCAGGAAATTATAATAAATAAAAAACAATACCTAGGCAGTTATTTAATTTTTAATTATTTTAAATGAACACAACTTTTAGTGATTTTTTAACAATCAATAATAATAAAAACGGTGGTATCTAAGGTAATGATACATTAAGTTTTATCACAATAATATGTTATCATTCAACAACTAAGAAAAATAAACGAAGAGCATATAAGTTATTATAATATAAGCTTTAAAATATAAAAAAAAATTTAAAATGTAAATGGGGCGGGGCAAAAACCAATGAGGCGAATCTAATAAAAATGTTAAATTGCAAATCTTATTGTTCGTTTACAATCATAATTTACAATCTTGATAGTTTTTTTAATATAAAGTAACGGTTTTCACAATTATCCGATGAGATACATAATATTTTTAATAATAAACTTTCTCTTATTGATATGAGTAGACCAGTATTAGTTTAGCTGTAGTTTTTCTATTTATTGTAATGTACTTTGTCCAGTTAACGATATAACTTGTAACAACGTACAAATAAAATATCTTCTATAATATCGTCTTTTAAATTCATCCTCAAATTGGAAACTATGAACTTTAATGCTGAAAAAAGTCGTTCCACACTAACTTGCGTTGCTGGTACACTTAATGCAACACGCGCCAATTGATAAAGTTGTGGATATATGAGCTGTTTTTCCTCCCAGAATTTCAAAACACTTTCCGACGACTTTAGAAGCGGTTCTTCTAAAAATATTTTAAATGATGCTTTAAGAGTATTGGTTATTTCACCAGTTAGATCGGTCCTTCTTACTAAAGTTGAAATGTTATGTACATGTTTTTCAATATAACTAGAATTTAAGAAATCCTCCAAGCACTGACATGAACCTACAGCTTGTATGTCATTTGAGGTAGATGGCATATTTTCCGTTTCCACGCTTGAAGAAATATGTGTATTCTTCTGATTTAGTAAATTCATTTTCTGGATATGGATATATAAATTTATTAAATTGGTTTGTGCAATACTTTGCTGTTCATTTGTGAGAGTAGAATTTACTCTAGGGTCTAAATAAATAGCACTTAAGAATGCATTATTGTCAAATAAAACATCTTGTCTGTGTTTCATGTGACAAATAATCTGTCTAGCTAACAGAGTGTTAATTTTTTGCAGTTCAAATTGACATTTCATCCATTCGATATAAAAATCACCCATAGTAAGCTGTTCTTTTTGCAAAATTTTAGTAAGCTTCTTTCCTGGAAGCATAGATTTCAAAAATAAATCTAGATCATTCCAGGTCTCATCAGGTAAGTATAGGAGTTCACTTGTTGCACATATATCTTTTAGGTTTAAAATACTTTCAACCATATCTATCGTAGAATGCCATCTCGTGGAGCAATCTAATGTAGGTTTCTTCTTCCTTTTTTCTTTTAAAATAACAGTGAATGTTGGTGTTCTAAGCCGTTTTATTATATTTCGGGCACTGGTTATTACGCTTTGTATAACATTATCATTGCAAACATCTTGCATTGCGAGTTGTAGGGTATGTGCAGCGCATCTGACTACTGCAATGGCAATGTTATCCTCGTCATCTACAATATTCAATTGAAAATTAAATATAGATTGCATTATTTGGTCATTAAAATCATTTTCTGTTTCATGATCGACATCATCTGCGTCCGATTCAGAATCAGAATGTGTGATATCATCTAATTGACTAAATTTGCTATTGAATCGATCGCCTTCTTCAGGATTATAATTTTCGTTGTTATTTTCAATATGAATAGTATCGGCCGCAAATAATCTACTCATTTTTAGTATGTTTGCACCATTATCGGTAGTTATACAATAAACCTGCTTGTTGTGGATTCTAAATCGCCGCAAAATGAAAATCAATCTTTCCTTTAAATGTTCAGATGTATGTCGTTTAAACAGTTCAATTACTGCTAGATTTCTAAGAACAATTTGTCCATCCTTAATATACTGAGCATTGACTCCCATAAAACTACGATTCGACAAGGAGGCTACATCCACTTTGAGGCATATAGGTAAATTTCGCACCTCATTAGCTAAATTTGAACGTAATTGGTCAGCAGTATCTTTAAGGGTACATCGTACATTTTGAGAATTAATCGCCAAGTTAATATTGGGTATCATAGATAAAATATTTTGAAAAGCGTGATCATCGATTAATGTCAATGGACGTCCGTGAACAGTAACTAAATTTGTACACTCCTGAAGTAAACTATCCTGCGTACTTAATCTGGGTTTTTTAGACAAATTGTAATTTTCTTTATTCAGCAATAATACTTCCTTGTACTCTTTTTCATGGTATTTGCTTAAATGCTTTAAAAGATTTGCACCATGTAGGGTCTGTAAAGAAATATTTTTAATATTAAAGGAAATTACTATGCGGGTGACTAAAATTTTAATGGCAACTAATATTTGTATTTAATAATAAATATAAACTTCACCAGTAATTTTTTATCCTTCTTCAAAAAAAAGAGGTTATTAATTGGACCTGTAGGGTTTTTTTTATAGGATAGGGTGACAAACGAGCACACAGTCCACCTGATGGTAAGTGGTTTATGTGACTCATAGACATCTACATCTATCCTCAATAAACACTCAAGATACAGATGCGTTGTCGCCCGTGAGGACTAAGATGGATGGACAGCTATTTTACGCTCGTTTTCTGTGAGAGCGTGGTCCTTCCCCGTTCGAGCCGACCCATTCGTGCTACAACCATAGTATAGCTGCAGCATGGCTCTACCACGTAGAAAAGATGTTTGTAATATTGTTGGAACTGCATAATATTCAAATAATATGTTAGTATATACAGGTTTTTAGATCATTCAGGTTACCTATTTGTTACAGTTATCAAATTAAACAATAATTATAGTGTGTTCATGTTGGATTTTCAATTTTATGAAAACGAATTTAATGCACCTATCTAATGCAGTACGACTATTCAAATCATCTGACATTCCTCTCTGAAAGATAGTGAAATAAACAATGAAAGCTGTAATCTATTCTGATGAAAATGGGTGTTTCAAAATATATACTTCATAAATTTTGTATTACATTCATAACAATAAAATGATGTTCTTAATATCTTACTGCATACATTAAGGATTGTGTAGACAAAATAATTGTTTAGAAGTTGAAGTATTCTTCTATATATTATTGTTAAACTAGATTATATGTTAGATTGCCCTTGCATTACATAAGTAATGTGAAATAAGTCTGCCTTTTCTATTTCATTTGTTTGAATTCCAGGTTGATCTTCCACGTAGATCATCTACATATCAATACAGAGATATTGAACTTCTACCAAGAAATAGGATAATGTTAAAAAAATATCTAAATTAAAGACAAGAATAATAATAGACAAAGAAAAGAGTTAAAAAAAGTATAGGATAGATCTAAAATAATTCAACATATATTATGTTTATATAATACTAATTCTCTACCACTTCAAAGTATATTAGCATTAAGTGATTTTCTTTCCATGCACCTAAGAAAAAAACGTTGTTTTGCGATCTAAGTATTAAATGTGGATAGAGAGGAATAGTTTTGCAAACCAAACTTAAGTGTGAAGATTGTATCGCAGTTTGGCATTCTCAGCATTATGATGTAAAATCGTTAATATATTTATTTATATCTTTATAAAGATAAAAGAGGTTAAATATACACATCAAAAAACGTGATTGATGAATGTTTATTTTATGAAACAATATTAAGAGTAAAAAGTAAGAATAATAAGGTTTAAAAATCTTAATAAAAACAAATCATATATATTTTTAGAAACGTTATCTCCACAAATTTTACTTTTATAATTAGATTTTCTCCTGTATCGCGGGGGACGTTTACATACATAGATTTCACAGGAGAAAACATCCAGACCTAGAACAATTATTTGTAGGCCATACAAATACTTATTCCGTTCGGGAATCGAACCCGCGGCCCTTAGCGCTATAACTCATTGCTAAGCCACTGCGCCACGGAGCCGTCAATTAATTGTCACCAGGATCATTTATAATTTTTAGTTATTTTTGGTTTGTTACGCTAAAGAAGAATAACTTCCTACGTGCGTACACAAGTACACACACACTTTTTTATATTAAGCATCTTTCAACTTAAAGAACAGTGCAATTTTCATAAAAATCGCCTCAGTAGTTTTCAAGATATGTTCTGATAAGTCAAAGTCGGTTTGAATTTTTAACCGACTTCAAAAAATGAGGTTATCAATTCGACACGAATGTATGTAGTATTATTGGAACTGCAAAATATTCACATATAATAATCTATTAGGGCTTACAAACAAATATACAATAATTTTTAGGTGTATGTATGTATGTATGCATGTTTGTCCACGCATTTATCCGAAACTAGTCGGATCGTGATCATTCGTTTTTTATTAATTTCAACTTAGAGATTATTTGCTTACATTTATTTCAACTTAGAAAATAATAACAATTTCATAAAAATCAGTTCAATAGTTTTTATGATATTGACTAAAATAATATTGCTTAATTAAATAATTAATATTTTAATTTTCTTTATGGTTTAGTTATACATATTAATTAATAGCAACACTAATTATTAATATTATTAATTAATAAAGTTTTTATAAATTATATACCCTAATATAATTACAATAATTATGAAAAAATTAAAATTTTTAGAATATTGTAAGACATTTTGGTGCCATTATTGTATTTTTGAATAATTTTTTTTATTTTGTGGGTAGGCACTGTCTGTAACAACTATATAATGCCTTTGAGACGTCTAAGACTTTAATCTCTCCCGTGAACATGATTGCTGTAAAGCATTCGAAACGTCGGGAGCCAAAAATCAAAATAAATCCGCGAGAAAATCCGAGAAGATAGTTTTATTTAAAATGTTAAATATTTGCGTAAATCTAAAAAGTATAATACATTAAGATATGAATACCTATCTAATAGGTAAATATGACAAGGTATGACGTGGTAGAGCTATGCTGCAGCTATATTAGTACTATAGGTAGTTGTAGTACGAATGGGTCGGCTCGACCGGGGAAGGACCACGCTGTCCCAGAATACCAGCGTAAAATAGCAGCGTAACGTGTTGTGTTTCTTATGGTAAGTGTAGAGAACCGGATACCCGTTTTACTGGAAACGAGACATCCATCTTAGTCCTCACGGGTGACAACGCATCAGCATTTTGATTCGTAATGGAGGATAGATGTAGATGTCTATGTGCTACAGCAACCACTTACCATCAGGTGGACTGTGCTCGTTTGTCTCCCTTATACTATAAAAAAATAACTCTAATTATAGTAAAAATATAGGTACATTGATTTGTAGGACAAAGTAGAGCTTTATTAAAATTTAGAAACAACAGATTAGTATAGGTATCAACAATTAATAAAACAGGAAATAAATCTGACCAACTTTTACTATGGAACCAGTCCTGAAATCGTGAAAAAATATTTATTGTTTCATACATTTCGCTGTGTTTAGAAAACATAAATGTATGGAACAGCTGTTCTTTTTTCGCGATTTCGATGTGGGTCCATTTGTTAAAGTTGATCAGAATCATGAGCCCTTTCAAATCTATACGTTTGTAAAACGACTAAAAAAACATGGTGTAAGTTTATGACAATTGATTGTACTCATCAAAATGAACAAATTTTACTAAGGACCCTACTGTCTCAGATTAAAAAAAACAGCTGTTACCATCAACAGTAAAATAAAATGGAACAGGTGATTTTTATTTTGCTCGGAGACAAAGGTTTCTTATAAAAAGTTGTTCATAATGAAAGTACAAATAAACTTAAAAGTAGGTTGGTGACCTGTTTTCTAGGAGATACATAAATACAATATTTTTCTTAATAAAAATTGACTGGAAAAGGCGCATTCTTCTACACGTTATCTACGACTTCTGCTTAACTTACCTTCAAAACTTTTTCGCATCCAGCAACTAAACATTTTGAAGTCTTATTATTTTCATCAAGATTAAAATATCTATAAGATTTATTAATTTTTTTACGACCCATTTCCAATATTTGTAATCAAGTGTAGTTCGAATCAATTTAAAAAAATAAATAAATATAATTAAGTAATATGATATTTATCTAGGTATAATTATTAATACGTCGCAAATGGCAAGTCGCAAGCGGTTGATATTAAATATTATCAAATGTTCATTCACTTTACAACGTTGCCAGTTCGCTTCTGGAGCGCGTGCGGTGCAAGGAATTCCCCGTCCGTCCAAGCTGACCAATTGAATCCCAGACCTCACCCATCTCGAAGTCGCGCGGATTCGCGCGCTTTTGAAAATGAATAGGTTTGGCAACGTCGCGTCTTTATCGTTATAATAACGTTAAGTGGCTGTCCACAATTTCGTTCTGTTAGTCTTAAAACGTTATACTAAATATTGAAAACGATATGCTTGCTGAGGTAACGATACCATTATAACGTTATTATAACGTTATACATTCTGTTATTGATAACGTTTTAAGTCCCTGCTTGTAGGGTCGATGACGCCTGCCCGATCGTTAGGTGTAGGAAGCGAATGCCTTATTCGTACTCTGTTTTCATTACAATTGCTAATGGTGATAGGAAGGGAATCAATACTAGGGAAACTAATGTGCTGTACGTGTTGCATCATTAGCATTCTGGTCGCTTTGTGTTATCAACTAAACGGAGTAAATTTACAGCACACATTCATACCACTGCTAGTCACAGGCCACCTCCAGTTTATATGAGTGTTGCCATAATCCGCCGCGCTGATTATACAAATTGTAAAGGTGATATTTATTTAGTTGTACCTATGTTTAGATGTTAAATTATTAAAATTTTGTCTAATCTCCACATGATATAATAAGCCGCTTCCCGCCGTCTTTCTAAATCTAAATCGTTGCGTAGTTTAAAAAAGATCTTTTAAACTACGCAACGGATTTTGATGATTTGATTTGGCGGTTTTCATCAATATTATAGACAGAATGATTCAAGAGGAAGATTTATATGGATAATACATACATATTACATATTATATAACCCTCCTATCCGTGTGTATACGACTGAACTCCTCCTAAACGGCTGGACCGATTTTTATTACATTTTGTGTGTGTGATTAAGTTGATTAGAGAATGGTTTAGGTTCAAAATTTCACAATAGGTGGCGATGTTGTCGAGATCCAGAAAACAACCGGGGCGGATCGCTAGTATTACAGATAATAAGAAAAAAACATTTAAGTCACAATGAAATAACTTTTTCTTAAAATCGCCTTAAAAATATTTTATTTATATAATTTCATAAAATAACACCGTAAAAAGCATTTTAAATATCGAGACAACTGTAATCTTTTTATAAAAGTTGGTGCGTCTAATGCTTCCTGTACACTACTCGCGAAGTACGAGTAACTTCGACGAAGTGCTCGTTGAAGTCGATCGCAGTCCGAAGAACGTGACCACACACTCGTGCTACTTCGCGAAGAGCTCAGTCGTCTTGAGTCTCCCGCACCTTAACATTAATGACGTTCAAGAGGCAGCTGCTATAGGTACCTAATTGTGTGAACAGTACGACGTCAATGCGTTAAGTAACTAAATAAATAATTATGTAGAAAGCTACATATTTAATATTGATATAAAAAAGAATAATTCATAAATGGCGTAAGCTGAGTAGTGTAGTGAGACGGTTCGTGTAACTTCGGGGTACTTCGCGAAGTCCTTTGACTCTGGCGCAAAAAACCGACAGCGATCGGAAGTCGCCCGAGACGAACCGAGGTTGCACGAAGCGAATCGAAGTACCTCCCTAAACTATTCGCCTCGTCCAACTTCGATCTACTTCGCGATTAGTGTAGAGGAGGCATAATAGTGGTGGTGTAACTTCTGAACCACTTGACAGAATTAGCTCATATACACTCAAGATATTCATTTTGTCGAGCGTGGTTAACATTAAGAGGATTAATATTTTCTATATTATTTATGGACCAAAATGTGAATATGGGTCATTCATGAAATATGATAGTTTAGTAGCAAAATAAAATCACAAAATCTAGATCGGATAGATGGCGCTGTGTTCGAAGTGAAGTAAAACTGAGCACGCTCAACATTCCAAAATTAAATTTGAAAATATTTCTCTCATATTATAATTTATAACAACGGAGTATAGTTCTTTTTTTTTATGTAAACTACACCTACACGCGTTACATCTTGCCGTGGCACGAAGTTTCTTGACGAACTGATGGTGGGAAAACCAAATATCTAGAACCGAAATCTCTAATGAGGTCCTTTATACCTATCCAGTGTGAGGGAATCGAAAAGAAAAGGAAAGGAAGAATCTGTCTTAACCATAGCTTGTCCAACGAGAATAGGCATGACTTTCTAGAAATGCAGGCGAGGAGAAAAGTCCTATGCGCAAAAGAGGAATATGTGGATAAAGAAGATGCAGATGTTCATTGGCGACGGTGATCACTTACCATCAATCAATCTGTATGCTCGTTTGCTTCCTCTTCCATAAAAAAAGATAACGAAGGATTTAATTATGTTCTGTAGACCACCAGTCCACTGCTTATTATTTAATAATTTGAGCATAACATTTGATGAAGCTTAGCGAACTTTAGCTGTCTTTCAAATAGTATAAATTTGTTGCATCCCTTGCATTTCTATCGCATTTACCACGGGGAGTGCTCAAAGGGAATGTTCGGATTAATTCCAGCACATCGCGAGAAAACTCACGATACCATCACCATCTGGATGTTTGGCGTTATCTAACTAAGAGTTCTCTTTCACACACGACTTCTTTGTTGAGTCGTTTAACACCGGCGATTTTCCCGGTACGATACGACTTAGAGACCTTCAGCAAACGAGCTGGCTTCTTTTTAAAAGGCCGGCAACGTACCTGCAATTCCCCCGGTGTTGCTGGGTGAGGGTGACGGTCAAAATCACCATCAGGTAAGCCGTATGCTCATTTGCCCTTTTCTCTATAAAAAAGCATATTAAATATTGTATATGTTAATTACGAGTATTATTTTCTTTTCAAAATAAACATGCCAAAACTTTACGACAAATAATATAGGGATAAAAATACGCCTAAAAAAGGAAGATGTTGGTCATAAAGACAGCGCGGCGGTATAAATGAGTTTATCTTGGAACTTAAGCATGTTGAAAACAGCTGCGCGGCGTGACACACGACATGTGACTTTTATAGATATCTTTATTGTGCTAAGTTAAAATTGTTTATATTAAACTAAAGTATTGTCCCAACAGTAATAAAATAATCAAATGCTTATGGTTTGTATGAACAAGAAGTTACTTTGTTTAGCACACTGAACAAAATAGGTATGTACCTAATCAATCCATGTATGAATGGAAACTGTATGTATTACTGTCATGCAGACCTTGTAATTAAAACAAGCTAAAAGCGATAATCACGCTACCCATAGAGAAATTGGGGGCGGCCCACGGCTCAATCAAAAGTGTCTGTAGTGTATTGATGTATTATTGAATTTATTTATATAATGCATATCAACAGATTATTATTATAGGATTATTTTGGAATATTTTCTGCAGTGTGTGAACATGTTCAAGATCGTCCCCGCCATTACATTAGATTTGATAAACCACAAATCCTCGCAAAAGAACACCGATTCCTATCAAGGATGATTTGCGAGGCCATTGAAATTTTAAAAAGAAACATCCTAATTTCAATAGAGAAGATTGATGGGTGCTGCCATCTCCTTGGAAACCTATAATTAATAAAATTAAATCCAAACCCAAGCATACCACTGCAAGACTTCAAAGATACTGTAAGCTCATTCTGCGTAGATTGGACCAAAAATTAATATTCAAAAACTGAAGGTAGCCGGGCTAACTATGACATCGGGACGTCAAACACCTCAGTCATCCCCATGGGTGCTGTAAAGCACCCGAAACATCGGGAATTAAAAAGTAAAATTAAACGCGATAAAATCCGTAAAAATTTGTTTCTTTTAAGTAGGTATGTTTAATTTTTCAAAGCTAACACGTAATGAATAATGATTCAAATAAAAAGACAATAAGACAAAAGGAAAGAGACGAGGCACTATTTCAAAAGTTCAAAACATGTTTGATATATGAAAACAGCTATAGGGAACGTCGCTTTCGTGATTAAAGGAGAGCGTTCACGGTTGACGCCAAGCTAGCTAGCCTCACTAAAATAGGTCGTAGCTCTTAAATTACTGTAGAATAAGCGTTTTACACGATACCCTATCCCTATACGTACCTATTGTAGTATCACGTTACTAAGCAAATTGTAAAATGTAAAGTAGCGTAATAAATACCACGTATGGGCATCACTTTATCTGCCGACTTCCAAAAAGGAGACGGTACTCAATTCGACTGTACGTTTTTTTTATGTGTGTTACCTCATAACTTTTTACTGGGTGAACCGATTTCGATGATGTTTTTTTTTATTTGAAAGCTGGTACTTCTCGGGTGTCCCATATGAATTTGATCAAGGTCAAACCAACAGTTTTTGAGTTATTTTTAATAACTTATACTGAAGTCGGCTGTACAAGATTTTTAATTTTAAATTATTTTGTTAAGGTAATGATACTGACTACACGACAATGCTGCAGTGTATCTTGTCTGTGTGGTGTGGTCTTCACGTGTCATAGAATTACACATGTATATAGCTCCAATATTAACCGTGTAGTGGCGGTGTAAAAATATCCACTATTCCATATCGTGGGTATCGTAAGGCAGACAAGAGGCAAACTAAAACAGGACACAGTCAGCAGCATCTTTATGATAACACTCAGAACAATAAACTGCTGTTGCCAACGCGCTTGACAAGCGAGGCAACTATGGCAAATATCTCCCGTATGAGGTTTGAGGCGATCTATGGAGAAGGCCTATGTTCAGCAGTGGACTTTTATAGGTTCTAATGATAAGCTGTAAGTATCTGACATGCTTGATTGTTCGTGTTCTTCACTTTATCGAACGCAATACATCTATTCACTTTTGTTTTTTTTTTTTTTCTAAATAAACCTACGATTGACAAATTTAAATCC